GCCAGCTCCGAAACTCTTCTTCTTCTTCTTCTTCTTCTTCTTCTTCTTCTTCTTCTTGCCATTGTTTCCAGAGCAATTTGTATTTAGATGGGAATGCGAAGAAAACATGTTCTCAGGGCTTTAGCATGTACTAAACTACAGTTTTAATCACTGTAGCTGCTGATCCATAAACCATACATTCATCGGCTCCAAAGTTGTCGTCTTTAGCAGCAGACAAAATAGCGTTTCATCATAAATGTGAATTCTGTAAAACAGTATAATTAATAGCTATAGAGTACTACCACTATATAGTTACTAATAATGCTAGTATAATACAAATCAAATAATTACTTATTAAATCCCTTTAATAAGAAAAATTGTCAAACTGAACGTTTTAGGACACCCGTAGGAGATAGAGAGAAAATCTGTTTGAAAAAGTGCTTTATTATTTCTTTGGTAATGTTTATTGAGATAATTGTATTTCCTACTGTGGAGCCAGCTGGGGTTTTGACAGAAACGTTTCTGGGTAATCTGAGTGGAGGTACTCCTCTCTTGGACTGATACTCTTTGAACGTCTTGCATATAAACGTCACATATTTACCGTAAACACGGAAATATAGTGGAGTTTGGTATTCTGCCTCTCAAAAACAGCTTGAATTACGCTTCATTTACGAATAATTTAATTCTGAATGAATGACTTTTTTTTACAAATCGTAAAGACTGAAATGACTTTGGGCTGAAGAAAGTAGTTCGGCAAAAAAACACACAATTCAGCTTGCCCATTTGGTACAAGTTTTACGGTACAGCATGGCAGCCTCCTTACACTCGTGTTAGCTAGAATGTTCTGGCGCATTCGTATTACTTTGTTTAAAGGGGAGTCATCTTGTTTCTAAAACACCCTGTGAGTACATCCAACACGGTTTTAAAGGACGCTTGTAAAGGTAAAGTGTGTTAAGTTTAAGGCTTATGTATGGATGTATTTTATAACGCTAGTTGTGTAAAGCTCAACAACAGTGACTGCCCTCAATGTTAGCATCTTGAGAGTTAAATGGGTTTGCTCTCTATGTTTGGGCTTCTGTTCTGTACGTCATTTCTGAATCGAGTTGTGGCTGATATTATGATAGTATGGACGCAGATTTAGTTTTTTTTGTACAGTAAATTCGTTTTTATAGGGAAATGTAATATTCACAAAAAGAGATGGGCTTACTCCAAAACATTATATGTAATTGAATACATAAAGAAAATGTTTTTCTCCTCAGCTCCATAATGGCAGAAAACAGACAGCCAAAAAGATATCCCCAGAACCTAGGGGGGGTTTTGCAGCTGGCTGTGGATGCTGGTTCAGCCGCAGAGGGACCTTCTCCTATTGAGCCCATGTCAGAGGAGGTAAAGGCCTCTTACTATATTATGTTTGTGTTAACTATATATTTAAACCTTGAGAAGGGTTTGAACAGAAACCCTTACACCCCAACACCTTGCTAAGTCCAAGGTCAGACTTTCTAATTGGGTCAATTTAATTTAATTACCATAATTGTACCATACATCTATTCACAAGGAGCAGCAAACACTGACTTTCAACACCTTTAACCTTATACTTGAGTTTTTAATAGAATAAGGAAGGGAGAAAAACAATAACAAATACCAAAAAGATGCATACACAATTATCAACAGACATACCTGGTGTAAGAACAAATGTGCATTCTTTAAACCATGATTTAATAACACTATTTAATACAACTATTTGTTTATTTAATGATTAAAAGTGAGTTTCTTCTCTTTTTGATAATATATTTTGGGTTCTATTTCTCCGTTGGGATACTTGTGTGTTCGAAAATGCATCAAAGAAAACCGAGAAACATTTTTGTACTTCTGTCTTTCTTTTTCCAGAGGAAACTGTGGCTGAAAGGTGCGCTCGCAGAAGTCTGCAAAGGACAGATGGATGAAGTGGAGCAAATTAAGAAGTGCTTGGAAGTCTTAAAACACGAGCGAGATGTTGAGAATGAGAGAGGAGAGGAGGAACGGGGCGAAGAAGATGAAGATGAGCGGGAATCAATCTTTGATATACTGTCAGAGTTGTGTGAGAATTTGGACAATGCTCGAGGTTTGTAATTAACACCATTAGAGTTTACATTTTTTCTTTAGATGAGATGTTACAGCTACAAAGAGGTTATGAATGAAATACTATTTGTGTGCTCTATCCTGACTGTGTGTCTTCTTCCTGTTCTTCACAGACCTAATGACTCTTGGCGGACTGGATTTGAGCATCTCCCAGTATCTGTGTCATTCCCGAAGTGGACTGAGGTGGCGCGCTGCCCATCTCATCGCTTCCTGTGCCCAGAACATGCCGCAGGTGCAGATCCACTTGTTCAAACTCGGGGCGCTGCCGAAGCTGCTGCAGCTGACGGACTCAGACCCCAACCCCACCGTCAGAGTGAAGGCCCTTTACGCTGTGTCGTGTGAGTATCTAAGACAGAGAGGAGAATCCACTACAAGGCAGTTAATTCTCAAAACTGTATACTTAAAACTGGGAAATTATAAATTATAAAAAAGTTTAATTACAAGCCTTAATTGTGTTGCTGACAGAATTGAAAGATCAAAGCGATCAGTCTAGATTGTAATCGCTTGACTTTTAGGATACTTTAAATCAGCAAAGTATTGTGAAAGTTGGGAAAATGCTTCATTTTATGTTAATTTTCATGTTTTTAAGGTTAGGAGTTATCTTAGTAATAGAAGTAATTAGTTACTACTAATCTGGTGTTGCATTTACAAAATGATTGGTTTTCATAAAAATGTCTTTCTGGTGTCCCACACTATCTAGCTTAGCTTTAAATAATCATTATCAAAAATAAAATGTAATCTCCAAAGCTTATTAAATAAACAAAGTGAATACAGAAATGGAAAACTGTGTTACTTAATTTTGCATTTATAGTGTATACATCGGCTTCATGAGATTTCCTATTTTTGTTACCTTGGAGGGCCTTGAATTTGAACACTACAAAGCCGTACAAACCTTGAGGAAACAGTGCCCCTCACAACAACATTTTAACTGTATCCTGTTGTGACTTTAGGTCTGGTTCGAGAACAGGAGGAAGGACTGAAGGAGTTCTTATCCAACGATGGTTACTCTGTGCTGATGCGAGGGATGCAGTCGGACAACGAGAAGCTCAGGACCAAGTCTGCATTTCTTCTGCTCAACCTGCTGATGGCTGAACCCGAACAGAAAGGTACGGAGAAGAGAGGCATGGGGACAGAATGGAGTCAAAATAAAACAAAGATCTTAAGGGGGAGATAGCACTACAACATTATGCCACATATAAGTAATGAATATCATCTGATGACTGTGAACCTGAATATTTATACTAGTCATAAATCTGTAATAAGATATTTTTGTTTAGGCTCCTATTCAAATATTTAAAGATTAGACTTATAAGAGCTTAGAACATAACGATAAAGTATTTGATGGTTATCCCCAAGCTCTATTATGTTATATGTTCGGTTGAGTACCTTTTTTTTATACCAAGATTTGGTATTAAATGTAATACTTTTGACCACTCAGGATTTGATAAAAATGAACAAAAATCCCTCAAACCACCTCATCATGACCTTGATGAACCACATGTAAAAAACATATGCAGTGTGACAAGCATTATAGCGCTGACTTTGTAAAGTAGTTTCTTTAACTTTGGTCTGTCTGTTTTCCTTCCTACAGACACAGTTGTCTCCATGGGAATGGTTCAGCAGCTGGTATCTGTTCTCCGCACACCTCACTCACCTGTCCATGAACACGTGCTCGGCGCCCTCTGCTGGTAAGAAACACTCTCTACCTTACTTCCTCACACTTTGACATTTATGCTTCACATTATTAACGATACCCTCTTGTGTCTGGTCTGTGTAGTCTGGTGGAAGAGTGTCCGAAGGGCCTCAAAGACTGCAGTACTCCTGCTCTGGGTCTGGAGGAATTACTCAAACAGCGATTCAAGGAGCTCAAAGGAAAAGAAGAGAGTGAGGTAATATATCTGTCTTTGAGCCTAATTGAAAAATATATTTAAACTGAAACCATGTACTGCAAGGAAGCTGAGCTAAATTTACTTTTTATTTCATAAGAAAGGAGACATGGAGACACAGTTGTTTTTCTCATGTACAGAATTACTAATGCATGGCTGCATAATCTAGTGTTGAGGAAAAATGTCCGGTGCCTTGCTCAAGGGCACCACGGCAGGGCAGGAGGTGAACTGGGACCTCTCCAAGTAGCAGTCCACACTCCATACTTTAAGTCTGTTCGGGGACTTGAACCAGCGACCCTACAGCTCACTGTCCAAGCCCCTACTGACTGAGCCACTGCCGGACTAATAAATGTATATATGTGAATAGGGAATTTTAGGACAATAAGGATAGCCGTTTCAGGAAAGAAATCTATATTTTATAAATTGGCTTAATAATTGTCCATGAACCAGTTTTTAAAGTCACTTCTTTTGTTTCTAACAGGAAGAACTTGAGTTCTGTGAGCGTTTGAGGGGCTTGTGTTTCCACGGGCCGCAGGCAGATGACAATGGGATGGATCGCTGAAATCGAAATAACCTCACCGGTTTTTGATATCAGTGTCCAAAGATGTAACCGAACATTTATGATCGTGGCTTGTGGATGTTCAGTAACATCTTTGTCTCTTACCACAGATGTTGTCCATATTTTTGCATGTCACACAAAGGCTGGATTTGACTGTGTAAATAGGTGAAATGTATAGAAAATACCTTTTTGAGTCAGCTGTTATTTTAGTCCAGTGTTTTCTGTTCTTCATATCCTAATTGTAATACCTAACAAAATGTCATTCACCATCACATGTGATAGGAAGTATTTTATGTTTGATGTGTTAATATGTACATCCCAAAGTGAGTTTCGTAACATGTGTAACTCATTTAATTGTTGTAAGTTAGGTTTGTTTGACGTCTTGCAGTTAAAGTATTTCATGTCACTGTAGTTGATTGTCTCTTAAAACCTGACTCAGAATTATGAACATCATTGTCAACATGTTTCACCATATTTATTTATTATTTACAAAAGCCATTTGTGTATTTATACATATAATGGTTAGCTCACATTTGTCACCACAGGCACAACTTACACAAACACATGGATGTCACACAAAATTCAAATATTTTGGCACATATAAGAGAATACAGATATTATTCTAAACTGATGTATGTGGAGTTTCTTTTTTTAGTTTTGATTGTAAACTGTGGTATTTAAATATCTTGCTGTTTAATAACTTGTTTGAAATTAGCCAGTAGCCATCAAGTGTTGGGAAAAAAAGGAGAACTGTCTTTCTAGTTTCCTCTTTTCCTGTACTTAATGTGTTAAAATTAAACACTAATAAGACCTACATGAAGTTTTATAGGTAGTTTTAGGATTCACGAGGCTGATGGAGATACCCCAGACTCTAGGGATGCCTCATGAATGCTGTTTAGGACCTCTTCCATTTTGAAAAGTCGTCCTTGTTCTCCACTGCCTTTATATCGCCCACAGCTATTAGTAACTGTGCAGAATAATACGTCACCATGACAAGAGCATTACCGTACTCCATTGGCGGCGTCGCCTTGAAAATCTGCAGAGCCAGCGACAGGTCGGACACCATGAAGGACAAACTCCCCAACAGGGTTGCTGTGTGGCGGGATCTGATGGCTAATGCCCCCATTATAGCAATCAAAACAACATAGATCCCCACAGCTGGAACCAGTAGCTCTGAGTCTGGCGCTGTCTGCAGGAATGGAAATATGTAGATGTAAAAACCTCCTCCTATCATAAAAAGGATAAGATACAGAAAACGAAAACCGACGGAAGAGGAAGCGGAATATGCTGAATAATTGCTGGAGATGAAGGCGAATGAGTAGAGCAGGTGAGCCGCAGCAAAAGCTCCCATTCCTGCAACAGATACGTGAGATGCTTAGGACAAACAATGCATTAATGACTAGATACATATCAAGTAAAAAAATACTTGCAAAAACTTTCCAGGTTTAGGATTATTTTTATAATAACATTTATAGCTTTAGACATTGCACATACATAGGCCTATATTCTCTTTTAGGCCTAGCACAGATTTCACTATTGACCGGATGGGCTGCAATTTACAATTCTTTTAATTACTAATTAATTGTTTGGTCTATAAAATAGTGAACATGTCTATCCAATTTCCCAATGTTTAAGGTGATGTTTAAAAATGTCTTGTTTTGTCCGTTCAAAGCCCAAAGCACTATTGTACTTTTAATCCACTACATTTTGGAAGCCAATTTTGTACTTTTTACTTCACTGAAATGATTGAAACACTTAACTTGCTTTATAGGTTCAGATTATTGATTTATACAACGTATTATAATATAATTATAGGTTAAGATATCCAGCACCAGTTAAGAAAGCAATTACAAATGTATCCACCTTTACCAGCTGTGATGAACACAACACAATCCACTAATTTAATATATATGATTGAACTACTTTTTGGTACTTTAAGTATATTTTGATGCCAAGGCTTTCTACTTTTACTAAAATGGGCCCAATTATGCTCATCCGCCCCTTAGCTTATCACTTACAATGTGTTGGAGTGCTAGCCAATAGGGCTGCGTTACAGAAGGAATCCAATGGAGGCGTTTCAGACAATTTGATATTGTTACTTTTACCTAAGTATAAAATCTGAGTATTTCTTCCACCACTGTTTATTTCAAATCTTTAAAATACCCCAACAAACTCTTACCGTGCAGAAAATGCTCAGGCCACACCAGGCACCAGTCCCCCACAGCAGAGCAGACCAATCCTCCCACCACACCCAGCACACTCTGACCTCCGTTCCAGCTCAGCACGGCTGCCGCCAGCAGCAGAGCGGGGGCCGTTTTGACGGCTGCAGATATGATGGACCCCGTGGAGTCAGGAGTCCACAGGTAAAAGTACAAAGCTGTGGACAAAAAGAAAGGCAGGAGAGAGAAAAAGAGAGCACAAGACTGACAGAGAAAGAAAGAAACAAACAAGGAGACAGGTCATTTGTTGAAATTTGACATATTTATCCATTTCACATGCAGAAAGTTGGAGCTGTAAATGGGAGTAAATGATTTGTAGGTACCATGTATCTCCTCTGCCGCCTGTCGTAGGCATGAGTGTCAAGGATGTCCATCGTCTCACAGTCAGTCGGTCTCAGTTGGATGAACCTGTCTTCTTTTTTCTTTTGTCTTTACTGTCTTTGTTACGGACACATAAATCCAGATGTTCTCGTCTTGTTCCCTCCAGTGTGGAATCTCTGCTGCTTCTCTCAGTCTGCTGGAATTTCACACAAATGAACTTTGTACCGACCTTTGCTGTCTGATTGTACGCTGATAATCAATGTTCTGCCTGTTTCACCTCTCATGGACAAACTACTGACCTTTAACATCATCAGCTGGGATTGATGACATCAACACAAAAGGGGCAAAGTTGAATTAGTAGTAAACTCATATAATAAAGGTTGTTCTCTATCTTTGACTTCTCATGATTGTTGGCATGGACACATTATTGTTGGAGAAAGGCCCAGAAAAAGGACCTTCTTTAGTAGTTGAATTATATTTCTAAACCTAATGAAAAATTAACTATTCATCTCTGCAACAACTATAACTAGAAAGCAAAAAGTTGACTGCGGTATGTATTTGTGAATAAATAATAATCTCATAAAAGAAAAGTATTTCACAGTGCATTGTTTAAAGGTGGGGTAGGTAATTTTGGAGAAACCAGCTCGAGTGCGCTAGAATTTGAAAATACACAACCGGAAGAAATCTGCTACTTCCTTACAGAGCCCCTCCTCCAACACACATGGACGCGCACATGACCAATGAGGGCACGAGATAAGTTTGTGCACAGATGGAAGGCTGACAGGCAGGTAGGCCATCCAGTTATTTTAGCCGGGCCGGCTAAAATGATTGGTCGTGCTTTTTACAGTACTACGGCTTCCACAGATGACATTTTTTTTATGGATTTTTGTCAAAGCACTTAAGATATTCATTGCTATCGGGATGTTAAGAGCATTCCATGGAATATAACAAAAAGTGTATCTCGAGCCGGTTTCTCAAACTTACCTACCCCACCTTTAAGGCTATTAAAAAGTATTTAAAAAGTATTAAACGGCATTTTCCAAGGTATTACATTTTGTAGCCTGTATAAGTATATAAATTGTCCAAAGAGGTCGTATTCTAAAGTGTGTGGAAAAAGTATTCAGATTATTTACTTTAGTAAAAGTACTAATAGCACACTGTAAAGTACAAGTAAAAGAAATGCATCGAGAGTGGTTGCATGGTTGGTATGGTTGGTATTTATGTATGATATTGAAAATGTAATTAAAGTATTAAGAGTAAAAGAACACATTGCAGGAAAAATTCAAAAGATATTTAAAAAATATTCAAAAGCAAAAGCAGCAAATCTTCACATGGAGAAGCAGGAACTGTGAAAACACGTCTAAACCAGAATCACTCACTGTCAATGGTAAATACATCCGTAAAATAAATGTATAGGAGTTAAAAGTATTTAAAAAAACATGCAAATCAAGATTTTATTTCTGCCTCATCCGTCACACAGTGTTTCATTCTCTGATACACTTTACGGAGAGATTCTGGATGCACCTGGAGTTGAACATGTGAAGGACAAGCTCAGTGATAAAACCCCACATGGGAGAACTAACAATGATTAACTATGGCCTCTCTCAGTCAAACTTTGCACTGTGCTTACCCACAATTCCTGGAGTTGTTGGTTGTTCTTCACGTTGGGAGAAACACAACTCTGCAGGGCTGTAGGATTATCTTGTGAGTACAGCGATAAATAGAAAGTAGTATACTTGTCAAGATAGGGAGTAAGGTCAAAAACAGACATGTTGGTGAAGGATTTTAACTTTTTGTTTCAGCAGAGGACATGGCAACCAGTTCTCCCTCCCAAAGGATCGGAGTTGTAGGATACGGACATCTAGGTGTGAACTCCCCCTCTCAATCTCATACATCTTTATGAGTCTTTTGCTCAGTTATATTCATGCCTTTCAATATTGTATCATGTGTGTTCTTCAGGGCAGTACCTGGTGGAGAGGATCCTTAAAGATGGAGCTCCTCTCGGTCTCACGCTGGCTTTTGTTTGGAACAGGAATTCTGACAAGCTCAAAGGCTTAGTTCCTGATGAACTCATACTCGGTGACCTATCATCCTTTGCAGACAGGTGCGAACATACACAACATGGATATGAAACCATACACAGAACACCACTTGTAACGTGTTTGTATGATCTCTTTGCTAGCAGAAGAAATCCAACTAATACCCTATGACATGTTTTGAAAATACTTATTTAAAATGTGTGTTTTACAGGCGATGTGATGTGATTGTAGAGGTGTGCCATCCTCAGATAGTGAAGGATTTGGGGATTCAGTTCCTGGCTCAGTCTCATTTGTTGGTAAGATTTTTCTGTTTGTGCGGGAGATGTGATAGTTGCAAAAGCATTTTCAGATTTACAGACCATTTTTGGAAGCTTATTTTACACACTTTCTCACACAAGTTTGAACAATTAATCACATCTTCTTTTGTACATGTATTTCTCCTTCTCTCAGGTGGGCTCTCCCTCTGCCCTCTCAGATCCTGATCTCAACCAGAAGCTGCGTCAGGCGGCTCAGCTGCATGGTAGGACACTTTACGTCCCTAGTGGTGCATTATGGGGAGGCCAGGACATCCAGAGGCTGAATGACAGTGGAGGCTTGAAGGTAAAACAGGTGTGGAGTTTGTGGTGCAAGGAGATGTAGGCTTGTTCTGACAAAACAATGTGTCCTCCTAACTTGTTTTCAGGCTTTGTTCATAAGAATGTCCAAACATCCATCCTGCTTCCGGCTGACAGGAGACGTCCTCTCTGATTGGACGGAGGGAGAGGGCAGGCGTGTCTTGTTCAGAGGCTCAGTGGCAGAGTTGTGTCCACTTGCTCCAAACAATGTAAACACCATGGCAGCAGCAGCAGTGGCAGCAGGGACACTCGGCTTTACTGGGGTTCAGGGAGAGATAGTGTCCGACACAGCGTACGTCTTTTCTACATTTACCTGATGCAGACTATCTTGATGCTCTACTTGACTTGTCATCCCTCTTCCTGCCTCCAGGTTAAGTGACTTCCATGTGGTGGAGGTGGAGGTGACTGGGCCAGCTGGTTTCTCAGTGCACACAGTGAGGAGGAACCCAGCCAAACTGGGAGCTGTAACCGGCAGCGCAACATACAACTCCTTCTGGAATAGTTTACTAGGTGAGTCCAACATGGTCTGATCGTTTACTTCAGTGGAAATACCAATCCAAAAACACAGTGACATTTTTTGGAATAGATATTGATAATAGTGATGAATTAATCCATCACTATACTGATGTACCTACAGTATATGAAGATGGACACGTTTTACTGATATACTTTATATGTCGGTACATTAGTACAGAGGTTCCAACCAGGAAAACAAAAGACTCACATGTAAAACTTGTACATTTGGCTATTCAAATAAATAGTACTTGACTTGACTCAACATAAAAAAAAGCAAGAAAAGAGCTGTTCAATGTATATGTAAAGAAAGAAGTTCTGCTACCAGAATTGCAAACATTTTCTCTTACAAAGAAATCAACTTCAAGCAACAAAACTACTTTTTGTAAGGGGTGACAAGCACAAAGTGTTTGATCTTCAACAAAATATTTCATAAATATATGAGATCCAACAATTAACTACAGCTGTCTGTTAAATGAATCCGTTAAGTAAAAAGAACAATATTTCAGGGGTAGTTTAATGAAACCACTATGTCTCCTGTTTGAGTCTGGCCTGAGGCTTCTTAAAAATAAAAATCTCCCACTCCTTCATTTCCTGATGTTTTTCTACTATATGTGATACCGAGGCATCTAATGCTGAATAACAAACCTTAGCAATGTACAGCAGTTCCCTCTGAAATACCGTATAGTAGAAGTATAAAGCTGCATTAAATGCAAAACAAGTACCTTAAAACTGTACTTGAGTAAATGTACTTTCTCAGAATACTGTTGAAAACAATGCCATAATGTCGTAAAATAACTTTAGGTCATAAGTACAGAAAATATCCTGAGTTTGTGTGTGTGCAAGTAATGTGAGTAGTGATCAATCCTATTTTTAACCCTTATTATGATTTGTTCTCTCACAGTTTGCAAGGGTCACGGTGGCCGAGTCTACTTGTGCTGAAGCAGAGGAGAGCTCGACATCCCCACAGAAAGAAGATCCACATGAATCAGCGGAGTCACTGGATCAATATGTTACTGAGAACTTCAAAACCCACAGACCCTCATAATTTGTGTTCCAATAAACGGCATGCATACAAGAAAAGAAGAGCCAGTGATCTTTTGTAAAACACTAACAGGTATATGTTTATTTCAACTTTATTATTAGTTCATCTTGTGCAAGATTGTAACAAATGATACATCTCTTACAGGGAGCGTACGCCTGGTAAAACCTTCTTCTTCCTTCTTCCATTGAAGACACAATTCTCAGCCTTTTCTTATGACCTGACAACATTGTTACTTTCCGTCCCTTTTTTCCTCCCCGTCTCATCTCTTTACCGTCACAAATAAATACTTGTCAAACATAGGCAAACCCCGGAGTGATCCACACAAGCACACACAAACAGATAAGAGGAGTGTAAGGTTGTTCATCCGTGATCGTCACTGAAAGGCTGTGATACAATAAGGCGGGAAGAAAATTAAAACACACCATATCCTCAAAATTACAAGAACATCTTTTGTTTTCTGACATTATTGGTTGCTGTGTGTGTGTGTGTGTGTGTGTGTGTGTGTGTGTGTTTTGCATTTTATTTCCATTCCAAGGCATTTGAAAGATAGATGCTACACTGTGCTGTCCACTGAATTCTCACTGACACCGTCTTTACAAGAGCGATTGTTTAACCAGGAAAATAGCTTTGATTTTGTACAGATGATAATTTGGTTGCAAGGAGGATTAGGATATTTTCCCCACTCTAAACCATTATTAAATCAAGTATAAAAACCCCTACTTCGGCTCAAAATAGTTAACCTTTCAATGTTTTTTGACCTACAGTATGTTATCCAGTGTTAGTACACTATAAAATCCAGCAATCCTGATTAGTTTCCTTGTTGAGCCGTCGTTTAGCCCTTTCTAGCTGCTGCACTTCCACAAAGCTAACCGATGGTTGCACTGCTGGTGTGACTGAAGCAATACCAAAAACATACCAAACGAACATATATTTGTCTAAAATCTCTGAGGTACGAACAGGTTGGGACAGTGATGCTATTTTTCACAACAAGTCGATATTGAATTCAACACTCGCATTCACACAACTGCATACATTTATGAAATACATGAGGACTTTTTTTTCACTAGTGAAGTTTTGCATGTATGCGTATGTATGTATGAGTGTGTGTTTGTGTGTCTCAGTTTTCATCATCGTCACCATTGCCGTTTCCATTGGCCCCCAGGGGAGAGGTTTTGTTTTTGAACGGCAGGGCGTAGGGCTGGCGGATGTTCTTGCGGTCCTTTTCTGCCTCCATATCTTCGTCGTAGCGCTCCTCTTCATCGTTGTCCTCCGCCTCGCTGTGGTGGGGGGAGGAGTGGCGGGACAGAGCTGGAGACGGAGGCACAGAGGCGGGTCGCGGGTAACTGAAACCTGAGGTCTGGGGACGAGAACCAAAAGGCTTCAGAATCACAATCAGAGGGTGGAGTGTGAAGATTTCACCTTGAATTCATAAATCACATGACTTACGGAGGTGGGCTCAGTAGGTTCATACATGTAGGTGTCAGGGAACGCTTTAGCCAGGGCCATGTGACGGGCGGATATGTAATACTGGAGCAGGAAACAAGAAAATACATTAATTCATCTTGAAGTTATCACACAGACAAAATGAGTCCTTGGGGTTTGTTTTCTCACCCTGCCGAGGTATTTCCAGTCCAGGAGTTCGCTGAGGCGCTCGGTGCGGTTCCTCTGGATGATCCGCTGGCGTCTGCTCTGCTTGCAGAACTGAAACAGGAAGGACGTGAGCTGGTTACACGACTCGTCGACCCCCCGATACCGCCGGTCCAGGATGTAAATACCTGCAGAAAAAAACAGCATGATGTGGAAAAATATGTGTTATCCCATGGTTTCTTTTTAAAAGACAAACTTTGAGTATGTAACAGATTGAATATAAGAAACGCACCATATGCTGAGGGGTCTGCTATGTGCTCCTCCATGAAACAGCCGAAGCCTGACAGGTTGGTGGAGATTGATGGGATTCCCATCACCGTGCACTCGGCTGAAGGTGACAGAAACAATAATGCCCATATTAGCATGTTTATTGTTTACAAGTCTTATTTTATTGGAGATTTTAGAAAAAATAAGGCATTCAATATAATGCAAAATAACAACAATTAAACAACCTGTTATAAATACATGTCGGGACAACATTAAAACAAATGATCTGCTATGCTGTTATCTTGGATAAGGACATATACATCTCATTGGATAAGGAGATATATAGTTTTATAAACAAGGAAAAACAAATATAGAAAAACTTTAACCTTAATATAAAAAAATAATTCCTTATCACCTTAAAAAATAATTTAAAATAATAATTCCTTATCACCTTAAAAAATTGGTTACAGAATAAACTAAGTACAAAAAGAAAAACGGTGTGCCAAGAGTAGTAAAGCTAGTAGAGCATTAGCCAATAGCCATTTACACTCACACCTATCACATAACTATATTTACCATCACAAATTCTCACACCCCTAATGCTTAACTAAAACAAGGGAAGAAAATCTGATTAAGCCCCAATATTTGCTAAACCTGATTAAGATGTTAATATTATACAATAAGGCTACACCCATAAATCCACATTGTCAGCATGCAGGAGGCGTACCTGGAGTGTAGCCCCAAGGCTCGTAGTAAGAGGGGAAGACGCCGAGGTGGCAGCCTCTTACAAACTCCTCATAATCCATAGGAAGAAGAGGAGAGGTGGACGAGAGGAACTCTGGATGGAAGATAATCTGAAGGAGGGAGAAGACGTTAAGTATCAGGATTAACTTTAGCAGTAACAGTAATAGTCTGGGATGATGAAGCTCAAATCAAATGTGTGTGAAATGTAGATGTACACTATTAGATATAATTGATTATTAGTTGTCTAGGATTAAGCTAAGTGTTCTTACTTGCCTGCATCTTGGGTGACACGTACAAAAGTAAGAAAAAAGCTTTTTTTGTGGCTCTTTAGGCCATTTAAGGTCTTTTGACAGCTGATTTTACCTTGACACGGTCGGCAGCGCTGTTGAAAAGGCCGATACGGCGCACACAGTTGAGGATGGGGTCGCTGCTGTCCTCCAGCATGTTATGAGTGCAGACTGGAGGCTGGCACTGTCTCTGAGTCGCGAAGATGGCCCGTTTCATTATAGTGAAGTCCTCTTTGTCAATGATCTTCTGCACATCGGGCAGCTGCCCACTGATAAAAACAGCTTGTTTTAGACTTGCAGGAAATGTGTTAAATGGTTACAATAGCATATTTTCTTTGAAAGAGGATAGTACACCAGGATGTTTCAACGATGTCTACACAAAGCTTCTGGATTTTGTTTTGTTACTAGACTTTTTTATCAAGTGTATTTTTTCTAAATCTTTCCACACATTTCATTTGATGATGTTATAAGGCTCAATGTACACAAGGGGGCTTCAAAGTGGAGCTTGTCCCAATGATGTTTGTGTTTTCAAGTAGAAAGTTCTTGTAATAATTGGCTGCAGGTACACTCTGGCTGCACTTGGCCACAACATCCTCCAACTTTTAGTTTGGTCACACCTTATCACACTTAATCACAACAGCTGCGGTCGAAGCAGCCTTTGCAGCCTGAGACATAAATGACAGCTTGCCTTCAGGCCGCACTTTGTCACGCCCAAGTGTGAATTAGGCATACGAAAGGTAATTTCTCATAATAAATGTGCCACGAAGGAGCCTGAAAGTAGTCAACTTACACTAGAAGTGATTCATAAAGTTTCTTTCCAAAACGTTCCTTCACAGTCTGAGCTGTATCCCTGTTAGGGACAAACAAAAGGAGAATACATTTAATAAGACAACAAGAAGTCAATGAGTATAGCAATTCCAATACACACTTGACACAATATCAATCACTATGTTGAATATACTGTAAGAAGAAACCTCACCAGAGCTGTTTCCTGACTGCTTGGCCCTTCAGTGTCTCAACATTGAAGTTGTTTGTCCGTGCTGGCATGATGAAGAACGCAATGACGGTCACGTCACTGTGATTGACCTGCAACAGGCAGAACATACAGGAATATGAGGTTAAACTCTCACAACTAAGATTTGAACATTTCACACACACGCATGTACGTAAACAGCTGAATACAATCACACACACACACTTACCCTCAGCAGATAGTTGAGTCTGGCTAACGCTTCCAAGAAGATGTCGGCTCCTTTGTTGGAGAACTCATACCGTCCAGCAATGAAGAGGAACAAACACTTGTCCAGGTTGAAGTCAAGGTGCCTGATGGTCAAACACAAACCAAGATCTGTCACAAGAGCTGGATTATTACAATGTTTTCTTTATCCTAATTGCCTAAAAATAACTATATTCTTTGGAGTTTGATCTTTCTCTTTCTTACACAAAGAAAAAGAGCATTTAACTAGCAGGCATTGCATTCCGTTGCTCAGTTTGAAATGTGCTGTTAATGTTGTCTGACCCGTAGAAATGTCCCCTGACGAACTCCTGGATCCGATGCTTGCTCTGAGCGTGAAGGTTTTGAAACTCGTGTACAGCTGAGAACTTCTTTACGTTGAGCCCGTTGGGAGTGATAATGTCTGTGTGCGATGGAAAACATAAGGACATTAAATGCAAAACATAAATGCAGAGAAACCAGTCAGACTTAAGTTTGCTAATAATAATGATGAAACCTTAGGTAAGAAAGTAGTGAGAAATACATCATATCCCCGTCCTGTACGACCCGTTTGTCCGACCATATTTCACACTTCAATTCACCTCCACACACCTGGTTTCCTCATGAGCAGGTACTCTGCCTCGACGGCAGTGATCTGTGATACAGTGGTGAAGACATGTGCACAGTGAGCGGCCGACCGCTCCAAACAGTAGCGGTGGTAGATCTGTCTATCGCCGGCCTCCTTGTCCACGTTAAACTGAACGAGACACAAAAAGGAGAGAGAGAGTGCAATCAAGCAAACAGTTGGTAGAATATCTGTCTGATAATGCATGTTTTTCTGATTGTTATGATTTGGGGTTTGTAACAAAGGTATACACGGTTACACACGTACATCTGCAAGTTTGTTATAGAAGTCCACATTGCCAGCACACAGGTATCT